CCTTCTCCGTTGACCATCCTTCAATCATGCCCTCTTCTGGCCTGAATCTATTCCTAACATACCTTTTGAAAATTTTCATCAACCTTTCGAAAGGGAACATCTGATGCTGGTACATTGGGCCAAGGACTCTAATTTGGTCAACAAGATGAATGAGCAGATGCACTAAGATATCAAAGTAAGTCGGCGTGAAATGCATCTCAAGCCTAATGAGAGTTTTGGCTATGTTCTGATGCAGCTGGTCCAGCGTGGACACTCAATGACCTTTTTTGAGATCACGTTGAAGAACGAGCACAACTTTATGATTGGGATGCTGACCTTTGGGGGGAGGATACCATGTAGGGCAACAAGGAGCAGCTGAGTCATGATGACATGACAGTCATGGGCCTTCATACAGCCATAGTTGAACTTAAATTCTTTCATGTTCACTAGCCTCTTTGGGTTCGCACAGTAGCCCGTCGGGACTTTGAGTTCATTGAAGAAAGAAAAAAGCACACACTTTTCTTCCTTCTTCAAGGTCCACGACGCAACCGGAAGTTCGAACTGGCCATCCTCTAGCGCCACGGGATGCAGCTCCTTCCTGATTCCCAAGTGTTGCATGTCTAGGCATGTGGCTAGTGAATCCTTCGATGTCCTCCCGGTGTCCATCAAGGTGTTAAGAGTGTTACCGCACACAGTTTTAGTAATGTGCATGGGATCAAGACAGTGGCGTACACTCAGCACTGCCCAGTAAGGTAGTTTCCAGAAAACTGATTTTTTCTTCCAAACACTCCCATCATGCACTGCTACTGCATTGTCGCCCTTCCTAAGGACAACCTCCAGTTTATTGACTTCTCAAAATATCATAGGCCCGTCTCGATATTTTAGAGGTAAGTGTTTCTCAATAGCCCCGTCAAAATATTTTTTGTTCCTGCTGTAAGGGTGGTCCTTAGGTAGGAACCAACGGTGTCCCATGTAAACTATCTTTGAGTTCTTTGGCAGATGTCTTTTCTGGCATCTCGTTTTTTTCTGTCAGCATTTTCCTTATTATACCTAACAACTGATCGAAACCTTTATCGCTCAATCCGTTTGTTGATTTGAACTCTAACAGTATGATGTCGGCTTCCAATTTGCACATTTGACAATTCTTATACAATGGTGATTTGCCATCTTGTCTCATTTTCTCTAGCTTTCTCAGCTGTCTTTCACTAAGACATTCGTTCTCTACATTACGTAGCAGCTGAGAAATGCCATTGTTATCCTCGGTGTTGTCAGCTAGCGTGTTTCTAAACATATCATTAATTGTGGGCATAGGTTCCATGTTAACACCAGGTTCCTCGTTAGCATCGTGGATGGCTATGTCATGCATGGCCACATCATCATCGTTTTCTTGCGGAACATTCACACCAACCTCGCCATGCATAGTCCATATCGTATAGTTTAGCATGAACCTTTTGATAATCAAGTGCATTCGTACATACTCAATTTGAGCCCATTTCCTTTGATTCATGCAATCTTTGCATGGGCAGAAAACAGGGTTCTCATTCCTAACTTGGGTTTTCGCATTGATGATAAACTGGCTGACGTCATGCATGTACCGCTTGTCCGTTCGGGACAGATGCATCCACTCTCTATCCACCTTTGCAAAAAAAAATATTGAGACAGCAATTATAGAGAAATTAATAAGAAGTCAAGCTTCATGAACAACAATTGTAGCTCGAAAGTACCATTTATTCTACACTTATTTAATTTAGTCACCCCATTTTTAGAAAACATTATTGTACACTAATTATTGAAAAATTGAAATTGGTAGCCCCGGCCATATAAATTGAAAATCGTAGCCCCATAAAAATAATTATTACACAATAATGAAGAACAATTATTCTACTCGATGCCACATAAAAATGGAGACACTAATTTTAAAAAAAAGACTAAAATTGGAGACATGATCATGAATAACAATGTAGCTCCAAACAATGTGTTGATAGGTGACACATGGATTAATTTGCTCACCAAAATTATAAAAGAATCTACTCTACTCTTATCAAGAACTAATTATAGCATCACATACTAACAATGATCTTGACCACCATGTAATTAGTTAGGATTTTAAATGTGTTCAAAGACACCAACCTTTTGAATGATGGATTCACCACAATTTACTTGAAAGCCTTGCACAAAGTCCAATTAGAAAAGTGCTCTCTAGAATGGAGAAAGAATTAGAATGAGAATCAAGCAATATAGCCATCAAAACAATGCTAATTAAGCTACAAAATCAAATGAGTGGATGCTTGTTACTAAACTTAAAGCAAAAAGATCAAGCCATTCTTCCAAATCCAAGAGTTAGCTTCACGGTGAAGAGCAGCCGCAACAATGGAGGGCGCGGCCCAAACGCGCACCTCTGTGCTCGGGATGGAAGAGAGGAGGAAGGAGAGGACGGCGCCAGCTTTTTGTACTGCTATTTTATCACTGTCGGTTCTTGGCTCGAACCGACAGTGATAGCACCAAATCACTGTCGGCTCTTGGTTAGAACTGGCAGTGATAAGTGGCCGCCAACTCACTGTCAGTGCAAGTCACAAACCGGCAGTGATATGGTCTTTCACTGTCAGTTTTAGCCCATTTTTAAGCTTAGAATCGGCAGCCAATGTACATCACTGCCAATTCCCACAAATCCGGCAGTGATGAGACCGACAGTGACGTCCAAATCTGTAGCAGTGAGACAAACATGTTGTCAATGTAAATAGTTTCCGACTGAAACCACTTGTCAGATCAGGGTGAGAGGTTTAGACGCGTTGAATCAGAGTTTAAAGTCAATCTAAGGGACTAGAATCAAAGTAGGCATGAAATATCTGGGTGAAAGTTTATTTCTAATTCCTTTGCTCCTTTACAGTATAGATAGAAATGAAACTAATAAAATGGATACACGTCGATTTCACTTGTTTTAATAAGCCATAAAGAATCAAAATTTATACTACTTGGACATTCTCAATATTGGCCCTGTTCGCTTCGCTGAAAAAACAAGCCAAAACACTGTTCCGACTGATTTGTTGTGAGAGAAAAACACTGTTCCGGTTAAAAAAAAACTGAAAAGTACGGATTATAAGAGAAGCGAACAGGGCCTCGTCGAACATCGTGGATAAGTTTTTTGAACATAATGACTATTTGCATTGTTTATAAATAAAACTATTCATCCCAAATTAAATTTGGTGCGATATCATCAGTCCTAACTAATCGCATTCAAGGCCAGATATACTAATATTAGAAGGCATGCAATGCGTCCAGCCACTTGTATGGATTGGCCGTTGGCTCATGTGACTGACTGCTGTGTGCCGACAGTTACGCCCGTGATGTCTCTACGTCCGCCCATCTCCTCTCCTCTCCTCTCTCTCTCCTGTCCTGCGACCGATGGATGTCTGTCTCTAGGCCCGTGATGGATTAGTATCTTGAATTTTTTTACGATGACTACATGTACATCGATCCACCTGGATAAACAACAGTTACGCGCTGCCTGCAGGATGATACTTTTGATCCACTTGTCGAAGCTTCTACTACTGTCCTTTTTATTCCTAATAATGCTTGTGGTGAACAATACGCCTGCACTGCATGCAAATGAAGGATCTCGCGCTGCAATGTCAACTAAGCTGAGCTAAGCCAAAAAGAAACACATAACTGCATAAGCTGTCATTCACATTTGCTTCAGTTCAGTCCTGGAAAAAGGAGACAATTGGAGCTCGTCGTCGGCCGCGTGGCCGATTTGTGATGTTCCATAATAATAATAATTCGAGCTCTGGCTTCTGCAGACTGCAGTCTGTGGGAGAGCTTGTGCTTGTTCAGTTGTTCTTGGGCAGCAGATCGATCAACTGCATGTTCCGCACTGCAGCAAGACAGCTGGTGTCAATCTGCTGGTAATTACTATACTACAGTAAAACTAACGCTAATGTCAACCTCATGAGAAAACAAAATTGCCGACAAATTAAACATCTCGGCTCGATCGAATCGGATCAGTCATCCAACGCAATCGATGGTTTCGAGTTTATTTATTTATTTGGTTTGGTTTGACTTGTGCTGCGTACCCGCCCAGTCTCCAGCTTGCTTTGCTTGGTCAGAGAAAAATAAATATCAGTATTGTTGACGCAGGTTAGCGGCTGGGTCACGTCAGTCAGTTTGGTCAATCCGATCAGATAGATCATCCATCGCAACACATCAAGACAAGACAAAAACCAAAAGAGAGAAAAAAAACTATACCCTGCACGGTCGGCAACCCATCGGCGGCTGCAAGTCTGAAGATGTTGCGTGCATGTTCAGAGTAGGAGTAGCACATTGGAAGGCCGGAGATTTCTTTTTCAGACTTGGTTCAGCGCCACTCCATCATCACAATTCACAATTCAGATATCGCATTCCCAAGTCCCAAGCCATGTTTGTCAACACTAGTAGTATGGATTCAGTTGTTCATGAACGTGGGGAATAGTGTCAGATTTTTCTTCTCAGACTATCAGACAGCCTCTCTCTCCCTGTTAGTATCAGCTGCTTCAGTCAACACAACAAGAGCACGTCACTGAATCGAAATTCGAAACTGTGTGGGAGTACCAAGGATCAGTCATGCCAGGGATTGCAACAACGGTGGAGAAGAGAAGACAGTCGTCAATCGTCAATCGAGCTTGTGCCTGTATCAGTCAGTCAGTGAGCTAATGTTTCCGATTGATCGTCTTTTATTACTAGTATATTACGCAAGACTGTTAACCTGTTGATAACAGCACACAGGAACAACATAAGTAGCACATAGAACCACACCACAGCAAGGAAAACTAACGCGAACTAGCAAAATTTCCTTCCACAGTACAGCACAGCAATAGCAGCGGATGGACTGACATGGACCAAAGTCATCATCATCATCAACCTCTGCATCAGTGACAAGGAACAAGGAAGGCCGGGCAAGAACCGGACCGCTCTCTGCCTGTTTGAATCCATGGAGCAGAGCAACTCGCCTCTGCTCTGCTCTGCTGGGTTGCTCGGACCAGATGACATCAGAGCGCGCAGCAGTAGGACGCCAGCCGGCTCCAAGCAGCAGCGGCGCCGACCTTCCTCCCCGCCCTGGCCCGTCGCGTCGTCGCCGCCTTGCCCTTGCCGGCGCTGGTGGGTCGTCGTGTGTCGTCCCTGACGCCGCTGCCGCTGGTGGTGCTGGGTTTGCTGAGCATCTCCCACATGACGTGCACGTCGCTGTACTCGCAGGTGCGCACCTCCTTCCGCAGCCGCCCCAGCCCTGCACATCCATCATCGAAGCCATGTCAGCCGCCTCGCCTCGCCTCGCCGTCGTCTGATTCCCGGGTCCTTTGCACCCGCGTGCGTAGGTAGGTATATAGGTAAGATGAAGACGGCTTACCGGTGGTTCGGCGGAAGCGGAGGCGCGCGCAGATGCCGCGCCACACCCGCTTGGCCGGCGGCACCAGGCACGACATCCTCGGTTCCGTCCGGAACCCTGCTCTGCTGTCCCTACTCGATCCAATCGACCTCGCCGGTGCTAGCTGCTCGCTTTTGCCTTTGCCTCGCCTGACCCTCCTCCTCCTTCCTCTCCGGCCGCACGCCTTGTGGCTTGTACGTTGACGGCGCGCTCCGGCTGGGCTGGGCTGACCTCTCTGCTGCTGCAACCTGCAGTGCCAGCACTGGGACGACCACGACTACTCTTTATTTATACACAGGCCGGCGGTGGAGTGGAAGGAATGGAGATGGCTCCACGACCACGAGGAAAAAGGAGTGAGTGAGAGGGCAGCTGACGGCCGGCGTCCGTTGCTCGTGCCCCGATGTGGACGCGGCGGCAGCCGGCGATCACGCACGTGGCTGGACACCACAGGACACGGCGCCGCGGCTTGGCTTCGCTTTCGTCGCGCCTTCCACGCCCACACCACACGCTCTGCTTAACTAGACCTCTGCGTCAGTCTGACAAAATTCAAGAGCGTAAATGATCGGTGTCTGTCTACTCTGACAAATTCAATTTCGTTTCTTTTCTTTTCTTTTTTAACAAAAGGTCAAATTCAGTTTCGTTTCCAACTTTTCTTCTTCGCCGCACGTCTAGACATCTCATCTCGATTTTTCAGGTCGCCTGCGAACATAAACCTTTTTTTTTATTTTAATCAGTACTGTTAACATATATTTATCTATCCTAGTGCTTTGTTTGCAATCGTAAAGTCAACATGGCTTCTTTTGTTTTAGACTTTTTGTATGTATGCGTGTAGAGTATTTTCATTCGTCCTCACAGTCACAGCATGAGCGGTACGTGGACTACAAACTAAAAACTACATTACTTAATACTGGTGTACACGTTGCACTAGTACCTTACTAAACGCTGAGATGACAGTCGTAATGCCAATAAAAGATATTATACATTATTGGCTGATAACGACAGTCCCAGATATATTTATTCAGTAAAAGATATATTCATTCAGTAGAAACAAAGCCCAATGCAAGCGGATGTTGACAGTGTTATGATTAAAGAAGAAAACGTCGGCTGCAGTTTTCATCAGCAGCCAGCGAACTGCTAAGTTGCCCCTGCACCGTTTTTTTTAGAATTATCCAGTAAAACCTTATCCCTATGAGCACCTCCGAAGGACTGAGCCGACAGATCTCGAAATTCATGAAGTCACCATAGGTGCCTCGCTGTCGACGGGGACGTCGCCTACCACCGAAATCATAGTGCCGTTAAATCCTGGAATAAATCCAGGAAAATGCGAGCACCAATGCTAAGTTGAGGACTTCAATCCATGTGGGCAGGTTACACTACAAGGAATCTAACCAACTGATCTACGAACAGTTCGCGCCCCTGCACCGTTAACAACAAAAGATCTTGATGAATTGACTTTGATTCCTATGTGACTATCAATGGATAGATAAGAAATTGTCAGGTTGCCGGCCATCAGCCGAGGACTCAACAAGCTGTGACTGTTGTTGAAAATCAATTTGATTCCTATGTGCCTGTCAAAGTGTGAATGGATACAAATTAATTGTCAGGTTGTCCATCAGTCAGAAATCAGCCGAGGACGTACTCAACAAGCTATAGTTTGTTGAAAGAAACTAGCTTCTTCTGAAGTTCCGATCCACTTAGGCCCTGTTTGGTTGGCCTTTTGGCTTTGACTTTTGCTCCTAAAAGCCAAAAGCCTAACAAAGGGGCTGTTTTTGGAGGGTGCTTTTTCAGAAGCAGCTGTTTTTCCGTAGTTCATTTTTGAAAGCTGGGTTGACCCTGCTTTTGGCTTTTGGCTTTCTGCTTTTCGAAATTGGTGGAATAAAAAGCTCTTCCATAGTTGTTTCAAGAGAGATAAAGATAAAAGGTATATTTTATACTTGTTTAACCAAACAGCTTTCAGCTTTTCTACAGCTCACAGCCCACAACAGCTTTTCCACAGCTCACAGTCCACAGCAGCTTTTTCCCACAGCCACAGCTCAACCAAACAGCGCCTTATAAGCTGATATCGATGAGATGCATGCTGACTAAAATATTCAGAGCAAAACTACTGCCGCCCCAGAAGCAAATTATAAAGCAGGATTAACGCCTGACTCATTGCGCCATGTATGTAGAAACTGAAGGCCGTGTAACACAGAAGGCAGCACGCTTTTCTTGTCTTCCATTTTCTTAATAATAAATTGTTACTATAATACAGTGTATATAGTATTGTTTGTCTTTTTGCAGGAGATTGCATTGGTAGTGAGTGATTGGGTGGACAACGCAAGTTAATTAGGTCCGATCCGGCCAAAACCTGTGTGTCGGGATTAGACTCCGTACATGGTCATTCATTGCAAATTCGCAATTATTAGGCTTTGTTTAGATTGAAGAAAATTTCAAACCGATGAATAGTAGCACTTTCGTCTTATTTGGTAAATATTGTCCAATCGTAGACCAACTAAGTTCAAAAGATTCATCTCGTGATTTCCAACTAAACTGTGCAATTAGTTATTTTTTTTACCTACATTTAATGCTCCATGCAAGCGGCTAAAAATTGATGTGATGGAGAGAGAGCGAAAAAACTTGGAATTTGGGAGTAATCTAAACAAGGCCTTATTCTACGTGATCACATACAAAATGTTGACGGCTTTGAGGCACAGAAAAAAATGACAAAATCTGCACCGCTTTCCCCTAAAAAAAATATCTGCACCGCTCGTGTGTGTATCACATGAGCGTCTTCTTTTACACATATATAAATATAAATGTGCCCCCAGGACATGGACATCATCGATCACGCGGTAACATGCACGCAGTAGCAGCAGCGTCGTCCTCGTCCGTCGTTTCTGCTTGCTGACTGGTGCTGTCTTCAACGTTGACCCGAGCTAGCTAGCTAGCTAGTTCATGATAAAATAAGAACGAGCCAATGAGCACGATCCCTCAGTTATATATTCTCTTACCTTTAATCCTTTTTTTTCTGGCATCAGAAATACCTACTTCTAAGGAGCGACAAGAGAACTGGCCGTCTTATTAATTCCCCGTTCTTATTAGTATGCTATAATTCTTGCAAATGAACTTTTTGGTGTGCTGCACTACGTACTCTGATGCTATGGTGGACCCAGGCACCCAGCCTTTTTGTCATCGAGAATAATCAAAGGATGTGCATGTCTATGTACGTAGGGGTGAAAACGGGTACGAATATTTTCCGACTGTAATCGAGAGCGAATTCGTTTAGAGGGGTTCAGATCTGTCCGTATCCGAGTCTAGATATTTAACATCTGATACTGTATCCGTATCCAATAATCAAATTGCATATTTACGATGTCGATATCCAATCGTATTCTATCCGGCATGGTTGACAACATCCATATTTGAATCTAAATCAAACAGAAATATAAAAACAAATATAATATCAGTGATATCCGTTCATATCCGATCCGTTTTCATCCATATATGTACACGTCAGACTTTCATTATGGCCCTGCTGGGTGATGCTTCCAGTTGCTAAACGACAGGTTAAGGCCCCGTTTGGCACGGCTCGCGCGCGGCTCCGGCTTATCTGACATCGGCATTGTAGCAACACTGTAGCACGAAACCGGTTTTCTCTCTCCTCCCCTCCCCTCTCACTGACATCGGCACTGTTCATCGAAAGCCGGAGAAGCCGGTTTTTGGCTTTTCCCCGCTTGCTACAGCCGCGTGCTACAGTGACAGAAAGCTGGAGAGAGAAAACCGACTTCGTGCTACAGTGTTGCTACAGTGCTTTGTCAGATAAAAGCGGGAGCCGGCGCGAGCCGTGCCCAACGGGCCCTAAGTGTATCTCTATCTATCTATGACGTCACAATTGATTCTCAGGTGCAGTTATTGGATCCTTCTCATACAGCAACTACTTGTACTGAACTCAATAGTTTGGAGCGCGAGAATTTTTTTATAGATATTCTTCCGATTTTCCCCGTGATATGAACCAATTTCTATATAATGGTCCCGTTCGCTTCGCTAAAAAAATAAACTGAAATATTGTTCTGACTGATTTGTTGTGAGAGAAAAATACTGTTCCAGCTGAAAAAACAAACTGAAAACGACGAATTATAAGAGAAGAGAACAGGGCCAATTATGCGACAAAACTTCTACACGTCGTAAACAAGGCCTAACTGTTTGTGCCTACGAGATACTAGATCGATAGTCATTTCACGAGTTGCTGATGACTGGACAGGCAGACCCCACATATTCTTCGTCACCCAAATAAACACTAGAGGCTCAAATTTGAAGCACACCCGCAACGCACGCATTGCAGTCACACTCAAAGTCTCACACCCCACTGACGACTGCTGCTGAGATGCATGATCCCTGTTGATCTCTTTATAATCGTCGTCTTTAATCATTTTTACAAGTTAGATTTAGATCGCCAAAATACTTGGCTTCGCTACCTGGGCCGGTGGCTTCCATTTCGATGCATGCTTTTCTCTCTAAAGCAAAAATCACGAGGCTGCCTCCTCCATGGGCGGGCCGGCCAACCATTATGATGGGAGTATCAATCACACACGCACACTCCACTCAATTGCATATACATATATGGGATCAGAGACAAAAAGAACAAGCTTTATTTCCAGCACAACTGCATGCAGGAGAGCTCATCCAAGAAAGGGATGCAAGAGGACGCGGGATGTCTGCTAATAATTAGTACTACTAGTATAAGAAACAGGGGCTTACTAACGCCCCGGACGTCCGAACACTCGCGACGCGCCCCGCTGCTCGGCCTAGCGCATGTTCGCCCGTGCGGCCCAAGCGGCGCACTTGCCCCTGCACACTCGTGGACATGCGACCGAACAGCCAGCGGAGCACACCTCCCTCGGCTGTCAGATGGGCCCGCCAGTGACCAAAACGGATCGGCAGAAAACGGCAACGCTCTAGCGCCCCTACCGCTGCAACGGGTCCCACGTCGGCTGGTTCTCTCCCACGCGCTCCCTCTGGTTGCCCCCACCCACGGACGAGCATCAGAGCATGCATGCTTGCCCTGCTGCTAGCCACGCC